GGAAAAGCTGAAAGCCAGGAGATCTGAGTTCCAGTCCCAGCCTTGCAGTGAGACCCAGGTTGTGCCACACCTGTGGCCATTTGTTTTCTTATCTGTGCAAAGAGACACTGGATGGGACAATGTCTAAGTTTCTGCGGAGCTCTCCATTTTGGAAGAAGGACTCGTGCTAAATTTGCTCAGCAGTGAGGAGGTCTCTCCCGGCTCTGGGCAGTCCTGAGCAGGCGTGTCCTCTCTCTCCTGCAGGCGTCTTGGCCATCCTCATCCCCCGCTTGGACCTGGTCATCTCCCTGGTGGGGTCCGTGAGCAGCAGCGCCCTGGCCCTCATCATCCCGCCCCTCCTGGAGATCACCACCTACTACTCGGAGGGCATGAGCCCCATCACCATCGCCAAGGACGCCCTGATCAGCATCCTGGGCTTCGTGGGCTTTGTGGTGGGGACGTATGAGGCCCTCTACGAGCTGATCCAGCCAAGCAGTGCTCCTGTCTTCATCAACTCCACCAGTGCCTTTGTATAGCAATCTGCCCGCCCCGCCCCTGTGTGTTCCCCAGCCCCTGGCCCCAGAGCCTCAGCTAGGGTCCGGGCTCTGGGGAAAGACGAGGTTGCTGTCCAGGAGCCCCTCTACCCGGCAGCTGGGTGCCCTGGGCCAGGTAGGGCTGAGGGCACAGGAGAGAGTGGGTAGCAGATATGCAGAGGCCCCTCTTAGTGGCAGGGCCACCCTTGTTCATTTGTACTTACATTAACCCAGAACTTTGCAACTCTTTTCCCTCATCCTGTCTCCTCCCTTACCTGCCTCCCTCCTTCTGACCCACCTCACCCAATTATTCCTGTTGCACAGCTCACTTTATTTAAAAATCTTAGCATCCCCCACCTCCTGTTTTCTCCTTTCCAGGCCCAGGCCTGGATTAAATGAGTGGGAAGGCTGGGCCTCTCTCTTTCTCATACCTCTCCCAGATATTTTACCTCAGTTTCCTCCAACCTGTTCAAGTCTCCAGGAGGTGCCTGGACCTACCTAGTAGTTAAAAACCAGCCTTCCAGAGCTGGAGCTTTTAATCTTTACTCTCTCTGCCTGTGACCCTTGGCAACACCTCCTCCAAATTCCTCGTGTGGGTCACAGTGTTGTATTCTTAGATGCTTTAGCTTCCGAAAGATATCAAGTCCTGCCTAAATTGAAAATATTTATATTTTATTTAAAATTAGCTTCTGTTTTTAGATTGTCTCTAGATCTGGGGTTATTGTGGATTGTTTCTTCCTCAGTAAGCTTTTACTAGGTTTCTCCTGCTGAAAAGAAACTTGCTCTAGGAAATGTGTGCTTAGGTCCTCAGCACCCTTGTCTGAGTACCCCAGAGGTTTTAATCAGGATCATTTTCACGTGTACCTCTGTGGGGAGGTATGGACTTTGCCTCCCACTGACCAGCCTGGTTTCATATTGAGAAGACACGCAGGACTCAGGATATGTTTGCCAGTGCACTGGGCCGAGGAAGGATGGCCGAGTGGGATGTGCTGCTTTCCGCAGGAGGCTTATAAAATGGTCGCGTCGTGCGCTGAGGCCCCCGACGGGCACATGGCACGCTAGCGTTCAGTTGCCAGCACGTCGGGAGGACACCCACACTTCGCCGTGGATGAGAAGACGGGGCCAGTGAGCACAGAGCATGAAATTCAGTTCACAGAATTAAGAAGCAGCTGGTCTGACACTACACGTGGTGCTTGGTTGTTTACAATCAACGGGGGACAGGCCGGAAGCAGCTCCCCACCCCGGGCTGCCTCCACGACCTGGACTTCTTCTAAAGGGAACCACTCGGTAGGGACTTCGGTCTCCTATGTTTTAAACACTAATCGTGACCCCGTCCCTCCCCCTGCATGCCTCCCTGAGTGTCAGAAATAGCCTCGGTGTTGGCTCACCTCAAGGCCAGCCTTCAGATTTGGGAACAAACTGTGGAGAAAGCAGAGAAAGGTTCGTGGCCTTGCTTTTGGCTGCCTTTTCTCCCCCCTGTTGGTGTGAGAAGTATTTCAGAAGGCATTCATTAAGTCTCCATCCCCTGAGCTGTGTGTGTGTGTGTGTGTGTGTGTGTGTGTGTTCATGTGTGTGCAATAGGGTCTTGCTGTCCTCCTCTCCTGTCACCAGGCCGTTTCTGACCTGGAGACACAGTTCGCCCTGAAAGTTGGAGAGCAGCGTAGCTTCATCAGGGTCCTGTTTGTTTGTGTTTCCCCAAAGCTTGTAAGGGCTCTGACCGCCCCCGTCCCCACGCCCAGCCTGGCTTTTTCTCTCTCTTCTGTTCCAAAGCCAAATTCTCATTGCAATGACTCCCAGCCTACTAATAATTTATGAACTTAGGGAGATGGGATCACTTGTGACTTGGTCTCCATTAGGAGAATGACGGTTTTCACCCACCCTTTCTGTGGTCACCAGTAGGTGCTTATGGGACTCAGATTCTAGCTGAAGGGGGCAGCGGCCCTGCCCTGTGAAACCTCAGGCGCAGAAGGTACCAAAGTGCGTTCAAGAGCTGCGCTCATCTGTTTGCAAGCCCTGGGCTCCAGCCGTCTTTCCACGGCAGTCCTGAGAGTTGTTTTCAGTGAGAAGGCACAGGCCAGAAGAAGGGAATCAGATGTGTGTCCTGTCCACAGCCTCTGTGCTGGAGGCCTCTGTAACTCAGGGAGCTGCTAGAGGCCATCCTGTCCGGTGGGTAGCAGGACTTGACCTGAGGACTGGGTGGCACAGAACAGTGGTCCTCTGGTCCCAGGTCTTAGCAAAATGCAGACTACTGTTTCAGGGTCCCTGGCCTAGAAAACGTGTGTGGGAGAGACGGCACCACTAGCTTTGGGGCTTCTGGAAGCTAATTTGGCACAGCCTTGTCCCCATTTGATCTTTTTCCTGTGCTCCTGCTGCTTCAGAAGAGCCAGGCAAGGGGGGGCCCTGTCCATGGGCCTTTCTGGTTGTGAGGTTGTCAAGTAAAGGGTCAGCCAGAAGATGGAGGGTAGGGGGAAGCAGCCCTCTGGGCCAGCTCAGGATAGCTTGCTCTTCTGCCCACGAGGCTTCTGCAGTCAGGGGGCCTTCCCTGGTTTCTGTCCATGCCTCATCAGGAACCAGCTGCCCAGCCTCTCCCTGTGCCCTGCTCTGGCCCCTGGTGAAGCAGGCCCAGCATACACAGAAGTCTGATTAGGGGCAACGAGGCTCTCGAGTGTGAGGCTGCATCTGCCGGGCCAAACGCAAACCGTGGGATTCTCGGGCCGATACTGTTAGGCTCTGTGCCCCTCCCCCAGCCACCCCAAGTGCAGCCTCAGATTTCCAGTAGCCCCGAGGTGGCTTCTCAGAGCCCCTTGTTTTGTTTTTGTTTTTGTTTGCAAACGCTGCTCTTAGGAGGTTTCCACCTCTCTGTCAGCAGCGTACCTCCCCTCAAATGGCTGGGAAGAGCATGATCTGTCATCTTGTGTGTAGTTTTCTGGAAGTTGTCACCATTCACAAGTGTCATTATTTGTATATTGTGCTGCTGTCTGGCTGCTAGGAGCCCTTCGTCTGCACAAACCCGGGCCAGATGCGTATGAATGTGTGGCGTATCTTAGCTCAGAACCTGCAGCTTCCGCCCTCCCTCTCTGCCACTCACCTCTCTGGCCGGATTCATTGGCTGGTGCTCACTGCTCACTCTACCCCCATGAAAGGTGCAATCTGCAGTTTATTCACTTGTCTTCAAGTGATGATCCCAGAAAGGAACATGGGGAAATCTTTCCTCCGCCCCCATTCTCCTGGCTTACTTTCTTCTTCCCAAACGTCTCCCTTCCTGAATTGTAGAATATCTACTCTGTATAACACTACATATTCACCTCATGTTTTTTGGAAGTGCAAAATCTCAATTTGTGTCTGTTTACAGCTCTCTCTATTCACTGCTCACAGCAAAGGGGTCTGTATCAGTGGCTTGTATTTCGCAGCCGATCAGATGTTAAGGCGAGCCCCCAGTATCGGCCCCGGTCCGAACCCGACGCCACTTCCTGACAGCGGAGGCACATGGTACAAGTCGCGTGACCTCGTGATTAGGGAGTCGGCTCCAAGTCTGCCTTAGAATTAAATTTTCCAAAGTACATTACAAATCTCCAAGACCGTTAGGGGAAAAGGAGAGGGTGTGGCTTGTCTTTGAAATCATGGTCAATACTTTTAGACAATTTAATTAGTCCTGCTGGTTGCAGGGCTGTGTGCTCCGACAGCATCGGCTTGTGGTATTTCTTCCCTGTTCTTTGTACCACCGGGTCATTATCTGGCCGGGGTATGTAAGTGGTGCTGATATGTGGCCACCAGAACGGGGGGGCGGGGAAACGAGGGTTGAGGGTGCCTGCTGTAAGCCGTGTTCTTTTGTGGAAATCAAGACGATGCTGGGGAAGCTGTTTTTAGTGAACAACGAATTTATGTGACTCTTGTAAACCATGTCGATGAATGTGCAAATAAGACGAATATGAAAAACTGCCATCCAACAGGTGTTGGTAACCAGACGGTACCGTGTATATTATACCGTGTATGTGCCTACATGGGTGTCATTTCTCACAGGGTATGTGTACAGAGGTAGATCATGCAGGAGCTCATAGAAGAATTTGTTTTGGGTTCTGCACTTGGATCATGTGTTAAACTTTTCCTTCCTCAATAAATGAATTTTATTTTTTATTTTTGAGAGGTTGCAGTCTGCATCTTTGTTTTTGCCTTTTTGTTTTGTTTTGTTTTTTTGTGTATCACTCAGATCTCTTTACTAGATCTTGCGAGGCTGAAATGTTTTTAGTTGCTGTCCCAGAGCTCCTCCGGGAGAGCAGTGCAAACAGTAGGGCCACCTGTGGAATTGAGCGTTCCCAAGAAAGGGGCCAGGTAGGTATTTTTCTGTCAGACAGTCCTGCCCTTCCTTAGCCTGCTCCTGCTTTTATTGAAAACTTGAGTAGGAACTCTCAACCCTCTCTGTGTATATCAGACGACCATACTTGACATGTATGATGGGTAGTTTCACGTGTTAACGTGGCTGGGCTATGACGTTGAGTAACCCAGTTATTCAATCAAACACTAACCTCACTGTTGCTCTGAAGCTATTTTGTAGACGTGGTTGATGTTGATAATCAGTTGCCTTTGAATACAAGTTTATCCTTAAAGTGTGGGTGGGCCTCCTCCAATCAGTTGAAGGGCCTTAAGAGGAAAGTCGAGGTTTCAGTGAGGAAGAAGTTCTGCTGCAAGACTGCAGCGTCAGCTCCTGTCAGGACGGCCAGCCTGCCAGCTTGCCATGTGAATTTTGGACTTGCCAGCCCTCACAGTCACATAAACCAATTCCTTGCGATCCCACCCCCTCCATGTAGGTGTATATGTTTAAAGCAGGGAGACAGATTTCAGGACAGTGGAAGAGAGGACTTCCTTTCCCCTTTTGTGACATTAGGAGGGCAGACAAGACCGTCTGAGCTGCCTCTTTAGGGGATCAGAAAACCAATCTTGGGCAGCTACTGAATTAGACTCATTCAAAAGCGGAGCCCCTGAGGCACAGTATTGAAGTATATAGC